GCAAAGAAATTAAGTTCGGCCTGTTTTGCACTGAGATCTGTTTCCAGGGAGCTTAACTCGGCAACTTGCAGGATGGTATATTATGCTCTTTTTGAGTCGCATTTACGTTACGCCCTTCCATTCTGGGGCACGTGTTGTGCGTCTCAACTTGAACGCATTTTTAGACTGCAGAAGAGAGCTCTTCGTTATTCTTTGGGACTTGATAGTACAACTCACTGCCGGGAATTTTTTATCAAGTCTAGTATATTGACTCTTCCATCTTTATTTATTTTCGAATCCGTCTGCTTAATTCGTAAGCACTTAATATCAGCTATCTCAGAGAGGCCATCTTACAATTATCCACTGAGGAACGCAGAGTTGGACCTTTATCTGCCAATACCGCGCTCAGAGTTAGTTAAAAGTTCAATACTTTATAATGCTAAAAGGATGCATAATCATCTACCGCCTAACATCAGGTCCATTGCATCTTTTCTCGAATTTCGCAGGGCGTTGAAGGTATATTTACTGAGGAGAGCCTTGTACACAGTAAGCGAGTTGTTTATGGTTTCCTAATTCTAAATTTTGAGCAGCTTACTCACAGGTTTTGTTTTCGTTCCTGTATCATGATAGGTTATTATAAGTTATTGTTTGTTTGTTTTTTTAGTACCTATAATATGCTTACTCGCACAGTATAAGCAGTTAGACCTAGATGTTTGTTTATTAGTTTTAATCAAATTTTGACCATGAACTATTTGTTCAAGTGTTTGGTTTTGTCTGTGCTTTTGCATTTGTATGTTTTGTTTTTTATTTTTTCAGCTTTGTCCACAAAATTGTAAAATTTTCTGACAATAAAGCAAATTCTTTCTTTTTTCTTTCTTTCTTTCTTTCTTTCTTTCTTTCTTTCTTTCTTTCTTTCTTTCTTTCTTGAATCTTCTGTCATACCAAGAAATCTTCGTAGTTCAACAACTATTTGAGGTTTTTTGTAAGATTTGATTGCTGCAACTTTGGACTGGAGAGGCTTGGTCCCTTGTGAACCCAGGTACTGTACTTATGACTTGCCAAAGTTGCATTTTGAGGGATAAATCGTGAGGCCACGAACCTGAAACCTCTTAAAAATTAGAGAAAGATGGTGTAGATGTTGCTCTTCATTGTCTGAGGCAATAAAGATATCATCAATGTATTATAGCAAAAATCAAAGTCTCTGAGTATGTGATCAACGTACCTTTGGAATGTTTGTGCTGCATTTCTTAGACCAAAAGTCATCATAGGAAATTCAAACAAACCGAAAGGAGCGATAACGGCTGTTTTCTGGATATCTTCGGCAGCTACTGATATTTGGTGGTACGTTCGGACGAGGCCGATGGTCGAAAATATTTGGTTGCCATATAGTTTATAAGAACAATCTCCAATATGAGCAATTGGGTAGCTATCTGGAACAGTTTTTGCATTATGGCGGATAATCTCCACAAACACACCATTCTCTTGTCTTTTTGGGGACCAGATATAAAGGCCTAGCCCAAGGACTGTCCGAAGGTCGACAGATACCTTGAGACATCCATATATGCGAACTCTGCCTTGGCTATTTTGAATTTTTCTGGTATTAGCCTTCTGGATCGATATGCCACTTGTGATTATGTGGTGAAAGACTAGTCTTTCTTTGACTTTAGTGATTATCGATGAATTAGTAATTTCAGAAAATTTTCCTTGACACTATGGCGACGGTAGGTTCCGAGCAAGGAAGAAAACATCCAGGAACATAAAGATTTGTTATGGAGTCAGAAATTCTTTTGTTTTTGAGATCCGCAACAAGGCCAAAACAGGTCTGCTCCAATAATTGGACGTGAAACATTGGCAATAATGAATTTCCAAGTGACTGGACTTCTTGAACCCAAGTTGAGAGTGAGAATTTTATGGCCAAAAGTCTGGATAATGGAGCCATTCGCTGCATGCAAAGGAAAATCAAAACTGACAGAATTGGTCTTACCAAAGCTTCTGGGAAGAACACTGATGTCTGCTCCAGTGTCTACTAAAAAGTTTGTTCCTGTAATTTTGAGGCGGTACTTTGTTGGAACACCTGTGTTGGCTGCCACCGGTAAAGTGTTGTAACTTCAAGGTGCTCTACACTTATTTGCCTTGCTTCCGAACTGGTTGTGAAAGAAACAAAATCTTTTGTTGGTTGCTTCTCTACTTGTGCTTCGTGCCCTGGACCTGCTTCTGTTACGAAGGAGATTGTTGAGCTTTCTAGAGATGTCAGAAATTTGATTTGAAAGCACAGAGATCCGATCTTCGCATTCACACAGATTTTGTTTCGTTGACTTGTTTGAGACTTCTGAGATAAAATCTGGTGAACTTGTAGTGACCTCAATGACCTTGTCAGCAATTTCGACTATTTTGGTCAGATCCAGACCTGATGAGGCTAAGAGGACTACTTGAATATTGGTAGGAAGTGTCTGGAGCCATAAAGCTCGCAAAATGGTGTACACTTACAAAAAAAAATTCTCTCCGTAACTGGAATGGTTTCTTGTTGTTGAGTTCGATCTCACCAATAAGTGTCCCAATTTACCGTTCTTGGGAGTCACTGCATCGCTCAACGAGGATTTTTTGAAAAGTTTCATATTTGTTTGAGTTTGGAGGCCACTAAATCGGATACATATTGAAGGGTGTCGATGTCCAGTACAGAAATAATATGGAAGTATTCAAGCTTGTCTGACTTGAGACGATGATGTAACGTTTTTAATTACTTTGGATTAAAAAGATGTTATTGCTTACGGCAGCTGTTCATCGGAAAGCATTTCTGTTCGTGTATAAGGAGAGTTTACTGAGGGCGCGGGCGCCACGAAGTTTTTATTTATAAGGTCTCAAACTTCGAAATAGACCTCAAAATTAAATCTGAAATATTATGTATAAAAAGAAATAATACAGCAATGCCCTCCACTTAATTATGTTTAATAAAAATTTGATGAAAAATTACAAAATTTAGGATTTCAATTTAATGAGTATCATGAATGTAAGAATAATTTGATTCCAACTCAGTAATACACTTAACTAAATACTATTATGTAAAATAATAATAATGATCGATCATTTCACTATCTGCTCTGAAAATTCATATGCTCAACTGAACAGTGAACTGAACATAGAAATGAGACATTCTAACTATGCAATGCTCAATAAAAAATATAAAAAGACTTCGTTGAGTCTTCTGCTCTGACAATTCACATGCTCAGTCGAACAGCACACTGAACATGGAAATGAGACATCTCAATTGGGTAATGCTCAATAAAAAATATAAAATAAAAAGTGAAAATTAAACGCACGTTTGCCAAAAATCAAAAGGGTGTCACTGACGTCGACTCGCTTAAGCAAGTTGCCAAGAAAGAGTGGCCCATCCTAAAGCAAGGCCGTCCGCAATTCAAATAATTACAGAATGAAGTTAGCCAAAAAAGGTGACTTTAGCGACCGAAACGAATGGTATTATTCGGAAGGATATAGAGCTGGGCGAAAATCATTAAATAGAGATGGTCTGGTGCCACCTGAATGGAAGTAGTTGTACTTACATAAAAAACCAGGTTGACTCCTAATTGCAATCTAAACCTAAATTTAAATGGAAATAAGTATTTTTGCTTTTAATGCATTACAATAATTAATATGTACAACAATACCGCGGTGATTACAATTAAAAACACCAAAAATATAACAAATTTACATGCCTAAAATAATAATAAAATGACAAAGTAGCTTAATTGCTTAATACAATGAGTTGTGAATTGGGCATCAACTTGTGCAAACTAGAGAGTGGCGGCGTCGGCGGCGAGTGTGTATTTTCTCCTTCGAAGTCAGACATCTTGCTTGCGTTTTTCGGGAAAAATGATACGCCTTGAAAAAATGTTGGATGCTACTTGTACTTGCGTTCTCTGGGTCACCAATTCCTTCTTAGCGTCTGTAGGTATGTTTATTGCATTGATTAAAAGTCCATAAAAAAACAACAGGCCACTTTATTCAATATAAAATTAAATAGAAATTGCATTATTAATGAAAACAAGTAATAACGAGGGAAAATTGAAAAAGCACGAACGAACATGTGTGTAATCCTATAGGTCTGTTTCTGCAGAAATCACAAACTAGTTAGAGCGAATTTCATTGGTTGAAAACCATCTGGTTGCTAGGGTCCCTAGATAAATTGACGGCCTGTCAATCGAACGTTGCCAACCGTGAAGTGTGGCCAACCGTAGGAATTGAAAATCTTGTGGGGCGAGTTACCAACTAACCGATGAACTATACATTATTAATTGGTTATTAATCTCCTTTAAACCTGTTACTCTAAGTTGGCGTGCTTTCGCTTATGACGAAAGCTAACAAGCATAGCGCCCCAAAATAACCCAATGATTGAGAATTCAGTTTTCTCCATTGTCTTATAAAGCAAAACCATATGTATTGCGTAAATCTGACCGTATCAAAGCAATTCAAACTCATCGTACGGAGCAGTGTATTGGAGCTTTGGTTAAACACCATTTTTTCAACTTTTTTATTTTAATTTTTGTGATTCATTTTCTGTGCTGAAATGAAAGCCAATAAATTCCATTGAAAATTCCATCATACATCAAAAATTTTCATTCTCAAAAAAGATCGAGAATCGATTAATACTTACATCACGTAAAGTCAATTAACCTATTTGCGCCAAATAATTCATTTGGTAATTTTGTACTCGCATAATCGATAAATTGCCGGTTTTCTGTTTCAAAAATAACAACGCCCAATATTTAAATTGGATTTAAATATTATTGCGTCCGCCGAAAGCTGAAAAAAAATAAATCGTCGGGCTTATTTTAAGTAATAAAATTGCTTTTTAATTATCAGTCAAGACAAGGCCAAATTTTTATAGACCTCTAAAAGTCACCGATTCAATTTGGAAAACGAGGGTTTTTATTGCATAAACCGGCGCTTTCGTGCCGAATATTCAAAAATTTTACTATAATAAAAATGTATATTGGATTAAGGTTAAAAACGGTATAAATTTTCAGAGTCGTAATGAAAAATCTCCTGTACGAAATGAAGCCGGTCATCCTGAAAATCTTCCCAAAACGCGTCCCAGTAACCCAAGGACAAGACCGGATCCAATGTCTCAGAGCTGTCCAACGCCACCTCAATCCAGAAGAAAATTCTTTTTGAGTCCGAAAGCTATTAGAAGTCCGTTTTTGAACAAAAACTGGAGACAGCAGACCGATGGAGCCATGTCAGGTATTATGAATTATCACACTACCAAAAGACATATAAACATAAAAATAACCATCTCATTAATTCAAAGTGGCATTTTTAACGGGGCATTTGCACTTAATGTTCCATAAATGCTGATCTTGGCGAATTTCCAAGTCTAGTTGCTATAAGCATACAATACTGAAATAAATAACTTTATTAAATCGACTATAAATTGGAAATGGTCGAAATTTTTCAAAGAAAATTGATGGAATCCTTATTTTCCGAACCATGTGACTAACGTTTTTTGTTACCTTTGGCACTTTTGTACCTACCTTCCTTCTTTTCTTTTGGAATTTTTATAGCAGGGTAAACGCATCATTACACACTGGGGCAGGACTACCGCACACCATAGGGCAGGACTGCCCAGTCACATCTTGATCCACTTGAAATTTGTAAGAAATGTCATCCCCTGATTGAAAGAAAATAAGGCTTTCAGCTTTTTGAATGACTTCATTTGTTTAGTCAACACCGACATTCCGGAGTACCTATCCATTTACTCATGTTGCGAATACAAATGCCATATTTGTGATCACAACACAAATAATTGAGGGAATGATCAATCTTGCCACGCTTTTTCGGTGATGAAAAGTTTTAAAAAAAATAAGATAAAATTCAATGAGGATACTTGAGGTTGCAGGACTGAAAGTCGAAGTGCGTGCAAATTAAGCCCTAACTCAGGAATAAACAATTCGGAGAGTAGGGGTGGGTTTATTTTTGAAGTCCACAATGAAACAATAGAGATGTATCGACATAATAATTTAAAAAACAAAAGGGTAAACAAGTAAATTAGCACCAATACCAATCAAAGAATGAATATTAACTAAACTATTCAAGAAAATACAACCAATTGAACTGTCATTAACTAATTAAATCAGGGACCTTTAAAAGAAGAGTCAATAAACAAATACAGTGGTGGCTATAATATTGAAATAAATGCTGTAGTCATAAACAATAAATTAAGTGTGAAAATTGAAAATGTTATTGTAGCTCAAGAACCAAATGAATAGGTGAAATGTGATGAATTTGAAAAGGTAAAATAAAGAAATATAAAAAAAAAGAAATAATTACTTATTGGAATGGTTACCGGTTACAAACCTTACAATTAAGTCAACCAAAATAAAATAAGTTGACATGAATAATCAACCACATGAAACAGGTTACGCCTAGCTAAATTACCTATAATAATTACTGTTGATTTGTTTCACTTGTCACATTGATACAAGTACTAAATTACTCCCTAAAATACCGCGGTGATCACTTTGGCGCACAAAATAAGGGCAAAATGTAGATACTATAATTCATTTTTACATGAAAACAAATAGAAAAGGTAGGGTAACTAAAGCTAGTACGATACCAAAATATTCCAGGTTAGTCCTGGTTACTGGTTGTGGTTGAGATGGTCAAATCAATCTTGAGGTGAAAATTCACAATCCGGAAGAATTGTATAACCGTCCAACTAGAAAACTTAGGCTTGCTAGTGATAGCCTAACAGTTATAATCTCGGTTACAATTGAACGTGTATTGTTTATTACAATGTAGCCGTTAGTAAAAACCCTAAGAGAAAAATTGTTATAACACTGTATTTGTTAATGAATTTCAGCCATAGCCAGGCACTTTATGAATAGATAGAATTAGAAAATGAAATGCAACTTAATTAGTCCTTAATAGCAAATTTACTTGATAAAACTATAGCTCTTGAACATTATTATAATAGGAAAATTAAATAATCGTGTATCTATGATAATGATTAATAAAATTAGGCAAAATCAGATAAAGCTTTAATATAAAAGAAAATGTGACTAGAGTTTGCAAAGAAAATTTAAAGTTATCAGATTATGTCACACCTGTTGAAATAGGGTTTTATTTGTCACCATCCGCTGGATTAGTCGGGATTTGAGATCCTAGATAGGATTCGGTGATTTCTTAGGGCAGCTTTTTACTAATTATCATATAGAGAAGGTCAGAATCTTTTGTGGGAAAAAACGTGCTGAGCAAAACTTACCGAAATGATTTTTAAAAATCCGAAATCATCGGCGAAATTATGGCACCTTACGAAAACGTAACGCAACGTAAGGCAACTCAATGCACCATTAATTCAATAACTGACAAAATTAGGTACAAAATCCCCTTTAGGGCGAAGACAAAAATTAAATTTTTCAAGAGAGACCCTTTTCTCGGAACAACCAAATCGTAAAAGGAAGATCCACCACAAGTTATTGATTAGCTGTCCTAGATTTGAAGAATACAGATGAGGTAAAGTAACGACAAATGTCAAAAATAAATCGGGTAAAATTTTAAGTATCAGAAATGGCACACAACAATATAATCATATCATCATATATAATATCACAAGAGAAAAAATTTGGTCGGCAAAATTTTCGAAAGGTATATGAAAGTTTGTTGCTTGGCAATTTCGCGAATGACATTTTTTGACAAAATCACGAGCCGTCAGACGAGTGATTTTATCAAAAATGTCATGAGCGAAATTTCCGAAAAGCAACAAACTTGAATAAAACCTTGAGAACAATTTTGCATCCACAATTTTTTCTTGAGTGGTATTCGTCGTGACTATTTCACGTAAGATTTTCAAAATAAATAGAATGCAGAAATATGAATAAAAACTTCAAATTAAAAATATCAGTTTGACAATGTCAAAAAATGGTCGCTGAAATACCATGTTGTTGGTATTGTCCAGGTAGCAATATTGTCAGCTGAATTCCGAATTTATTGCCGGTGTAATACACTCTAGTGAAATAGTCAGAGAAAAAAGACAATAGCTGACGACTAATGATAACAACAACAAGTAATTAATTACTAGAACAATCATAATTTGAATAATATGACAATTAATAAACAATTCGTGATGCAAAACCTAAACAAAGCTTTATAAAATTAGGGAAAAATAAGATATCCATATTAATTTTGAATGGGAAACTAAAAATAAGTGTGAAATATTTAGAGGCAATTTTGGCACGTTACAACCTCCCCTCTCATACGATAGGAGGGAAAGTTACAAGGAAACTTTTCCGACGATCATCTAAGCAAAGTCGAGAACTAAGATAATAGAGAAATATATGTATTTATAATTTAAGCCTAAATGAAATCAAAATGACTATCAAATCGACTATCAAGGAACAACAAATAACAGGTAAATATTAAAAAGGTAGTTATGTGGCTTCCAGAACGGATATCTGCTTACTTTACCCTGAAAAACACAGAGTTAAGATAACTAAAGTCAATAAAGCTATAGAGGTTAAGGCAAAAATAAGCAAAGTCGTAAAGGAAAGAAAAGTAGAAAAAAATTGAAGGAAAGAAAAGAAATTATTGAAGCTTTGGTTGTTCTGCGATGGAGAACACTAGGCAGCCTTCTCGCTGTATCTTTATAGTGTAGGCGGAAAAATTCTATAGCATTTTTTTGAAATTTTAATTTTATTTTGTCGCAGTTGTTGGGTGATTTTTTTCAGCCAGCGTTGCGCTACCACCTGTGAGGTATTGTGGAACCTCTCGCACTGGCCAGCAAGATAACCTCCCAAACAACCAAAGAGTGGGTAGAAAAAAAAGACAAGAAAGTTGAGATTGAAATTTAACCAAGAGACCCGCCAAATAATCGGAACGTGCTATAGCACAGCCAGCCATCGCGAGTTTTAATAATATTTGAAGTACCGCTAGACTTAGCGAGTAAGGAAGTACTGCCAGACTTGAAGGATACATTCTTACTACGGGTGTGATGGACCAAGTGGTCAAAAGAAAAAGTTAAAGGTAATTAGGGTATTCCGAAACGAGTCACTCCCTCCGACCCCAAGAAGTCTAAGGCAGACTGGAGATAAGGTGATACGCAGTAGCTGCTGCCCCGCATTTGGCATCCACGTTGTGGGGGTGACGAAACACGTCCTACTAAGACTACCAAAGTTGCAACAACCCCCCGACGCGCACCGTTCCAATCTGTCTGCTGCAACCAGCGTCGACTCTTAGTCCGGAGGCGCCCAACTCGCTTCAGCCCGTCAATAGAAAAAAAATAATCGATCATTGAGAGTTAAACGCCAAAAAGGCAAAAGTTATACGCAATAAGGCAAAAAAAAATTGAGCTAAAACGCAATAAAGAGATCAGCCAACTACTTCAGGTACAGGGTAAGAAAATATGGTAAACATCCTCCTGAGCACAAGAAACTAATAAAAAGTCAATCGACTTTCGACAAAAGCAGTAAACGGAGAACTCTATCGACCGAATGACATGACACTGCCCCGTTTCGCGCCAAGACAGTAACACGCAACCAAGACAATCAGCTCTTGGCTCAGTAAACAAAACAATCATGTTTATCAGGAATCAACAAATGGAGGCAAGGGAATTTAAAAACAAAACAAAAGAAATATTAATAAAAAAATACCATGATGGGCATAGGTTTGTAATCCAAAACAATAATAAAGAAAACTGCAAGATAATTGCATAAAGGCTGGGATAATGGTAGAACAACCGCAAACCTATTCCTCAATAACCTAACATATCCTATTCCTAAATGACATGCTAGGGTGATGCTATTATTGCCAGTGGTATATTACAGGATACGGCTACAGACAGTATGGCTTACCGAGAGTACCATAGCAAGGGATTTGAATAATAATATGTAGTTGTTGATTAGCATCTGAAGTTAACCCTTGGTCTGACGGAGTTTTACAAGAAAGGAGGTAAAGGAAAAGAAAAGAAAAAAAATTTACGCAATAAATTGACATTAAGGTTGACTAACCTGCTGATTATCAGTGTCAGCAATTGATGGATCGATAAAAGGTTTAAGACCTTGAACATGCCATATACCCTTTACATTACCCTGATGATCATCCTGCAATTCGTACAACCTAGACCCACATTTACACTTTATTAGAAACGGACCAACATACTGAGGAGCTAACTTAGCAGTGATGTAGTTCGCAGCGTCAGAGAGAACTTTATTTTTATGCCAGACTTCATCTCCTGGGTTGAAAATTAG